TCCCTTCTCCTCCTCCTCCTTCCTCCTCCTCCTCTTCCTTCTCCTCCTAGCCGCTTTGGCCCAAAACGGGCGTGCGGCAGCGCGATTCAAAGCGGCGCAGCTGCCGCGAGCCATGGCTTTGGCCTGATGCTCACGAGTCTGCGGTTCCTGATAGCGGAGAACTTCTTCGGCCCGGACTTCGGGGCGAGGTTCGGCGACTTCTTGGAGGCCGCGCGGGTGGATGATGCTGAGGTCGTCGCCTGCCACTCGGGAGGAGAGTAAAGGTGGGGGTCGGTGGCTGCCGAAGCCCCCGCCGCCGGCGAAGATCAGGATCCCGTGGCGCCGTGTGGAGTCGTCCGCGCCTGCTGCGGACAAGGTGAAGAGCGCCAAGGTGTTCGAGAAGAAGGCGAAGAAGAGGAAGCAGAATGAGTAGTCTGCTCGGAACCCTTCGCGCATATCAAGGGCCACATCGACGGGTCCCAGGAGTGGAAGCTAAAGGACTGCCACCTACAGAAGTGGAAGTGCGAGGACTGCGCCAAGAGGTTGAAGAAGAAGGTGGTGCTCTTTGGCTTCAGGGTGCAGCGCCCCTTCTGCCGCAGGCTGCCGCCGTACCCCATCAGGGAGAATCAGATGGCGGCCATCCGCAAGATCAGCAAGGAGGAGTTCGAGCGCCAGAGCGCTCCCAGGAAGCAGCTGGCGTCGGCCACTGCTGCGAGTTCTTCGACATGTCCAGAGGTGACGGTGCAGAGGGCTCTGAAGAAGAACGCGTTCCTCAAGAAGATCCAGCAGAAGCGCAAGCACATCTAGGGGAAGCAGGCCATGGGGGTGAAGCCCAGCGTGCCACAGGCGGAGGAGGTGATGGTGAAGGAGACGGAGAAGGACAGGCAGCTGGATGGCATCGACGCGATGGCCAGCCAGCAGCAGACGACCAAGGACAACCTGTCGGAGTTGATCGAGTCGCTGCAGCCCGCCCTGCACACGGGCACGGATGAGGCGCAAAGCAGGGTGAAGGCCCTCACCAAGCAGGCCGAGAAGACCCTGACCAGCACGGAGGAGAGCCTGGTGCGACTCAAGCGCCTGAGGAACCTCGCGGTGGCCAAGTGAACCTCGCGCGTGGATGCGCCCAGGCCCTCGCGGGCCAGAGTCTGAGGGACCGTGAGCCAAATCTCACGGAGACTGGGCTGGAGCTGGTTGCCGTCCCAGCTTTCCCGTCCCTCCATGGGGCGGGGGACGACCTGGAGTTCTCATTGGAGGACTTCCTGGAGGGCAAGAAGCTCCAGGACGCGCTCGATGCGACCAGCTCGCCTGAGGCCAAACGCATTGCGATGCTGGGCATCAAATCGTACGCGTTCAGGCTCTCGCTTGCCCAGGCGCCCTCGTAGTGGGGTGCCAGGGTGGGCTTCTCTTCAAGCGTGGCGTTGAGCCAGTTTTGGCCTAGGTCGGCGTGCGTCGCGCGTAGTTTTGCGGGCGCTGGGCGTAGGCCTGGCGCCATTGAGGTGCTGAGCAAAGACTCGGTCCCTCAACGCTGCATTGGCAACTCCTGAGCGTGGGCTTGGCGTGGCCAGCCAACCAGGGGCCTCTAGGAGAGACTCGTTTAATCAGAGCCCTCAGAGCCATCCTCCTCCTCCTCCTCCTCCTCCTCCTCCTCCTCCTTCTCCTCTTTCTCCTCCTCCTCCTCCTCACTTTCTCTTCCTTCCTCCTCCTCCTCCTCCTCCTCCTCTTCCTCCTCCTCTTCCTCCTCCTTCTCCTCCACCTCCTTCTCCAGCTCCTCCTCCTCCTCCTCCTCCTCCTCCTCCACAATTACACAATATGAAAATACTCTCCCACTTCCCCTGATGGCGTCCGGAAGATATTCGGCACCCCCCCGCGTACTGTTTTTTTACACACAGGATTCCCCGGAGTTGGGTTTTCGCTGGTGTTTTTTTCTAAAATGCTGCTCTCGCTGAGGCGCCGGCCTCATTTCTGCTCCCGAATCGTTCCGAATCGTGCTCCCGCTCCAGCGTGGGCCTCATTTTCGGATCGGTGTTTGGCCTCCGTCGTTGAGGATGGCGTTCTCGCCCCAGCGCGGGCCTCTTTCTCGCGCGCCCATCCGCCCGCCACCACCGCGCCGCACCGCCACCACCACCACCACTATCGATCCCACTACCACGTGACACCACGGACACCACCACCACCGGACCACCCCACACCACCACCAGCACCAGCACCACACCAGCACCCATCAACCATCAGTATCACCAGCACCAGCACCAACACGACCACCACCACCACCACCACCACCACCAACCACCACCACCACCACCACCACCACCACCACCACCACCACGACAACCACGCACACACGCACGCACGCACGCACGTGCACCACCACCCACTACGCACGCGCGCGCGGAGCCACAGGTCCGCTACGACACGCGTCCGCGGATAGATAAAATCAGCGCCATGGTAAGGGATGGGAGGGAGGGGTAGGATGTCAGATATGACGCGCGCGCACCTAGCTTTCCACCCCCCCTCCTCCTCCTTTCCTCCTCCTCCTCCTCCTCCTCCTCCGCCTCCGTCCTCCTCCTCCTCCTCCTCCTCCTCCTCCTCCTCCTCCTCCTCCTCCTCCTCCTCCTCCTCCTCCTCTTCGGGTCGCCGACGGCCCCGGGGAAAACCGTGCGCCCGCAGGCCCTCGCCGAGCGGTTGCGGGGCGCGCCAGTTCTCGAGCCGCAGCGACCCGTTATTGACATTCTGCGGCGAGCGAGGGGGGAGGAAGAAGCCCAAACATACTCGCGTCGTTAAAAAATCCCGACGGGAGGTTTTTGCCAGTTTTCGGTTTCGGAGGGCCTTCGCCAGGCCCCGGGACCGTCAAAAAACGAGTCAGGGCGAACAACAGGTCCCGGGGAAAGGGTCGGGACTTCCAGGGGCCCCGAATTGAAAAAATCAGGATGTCGCATGTTTTGGAGAAGGAGGAGGCCTTTTCAGAAGGCGGTGGGGTTTCTCAAAAAGCCTCGGGCCTTCTGAGAGGCTTTTGTGGGGGGTCGTCGGGGGGGGCTCAGAAGACTTCTCAGAAGACCGGGGGGCAAGCCTTCTGATAAGGCCTTCTCCTTCTCACTTCCCCCCAGGCGAGTCGTCGAGTGATGGTCTTGGAGCCCAAGACCCAGACCCCCAACGTCGTGATTTGTTCACGACGTCGACCCCCCGAGGTCTGGACCTCTTCACCGGGACCGGTTTTTCACCCTGAGTCATTTTCTGACGGTCCCGAGGCTCGGTAAGGGCCCCCAAAGGCCGAAAACAGCGAAAAACCTCCCGCCATTATTGTCTCATTCCCCGATGGGGTCTGGGTACCGGGCGAAAACAAACCCGGTGTGACAAAAACTACATCGCCCGGACCTCTGGGCAGGCGGGGCTCCGAGCTTGCAGGTTCCCCAAATCGGGTCGGAGTAGACGGGATCGGATGCGGAAGGCGCGGAAGCCCGCCACAAACAAATAGTCACAGACACCCTCCAGTGGATTGATCCTGGGCCGCAGGGGGTGGTAGCGATGTGCACCACTGAGAGCCTGCGACTTCATACACCGCCACCCTCCTTGAAGGTGCACGCAAAGTTCGTCGGAGGGTGTCAGTGTATAGGTTTCTGCGGCATTGTGAAAGGCAACTCCTGCTAGAGACACGAGAGAGGCGAAATCAGCCAAAGTAGCTACATGGATAGGTTGTAGAGTACCTTCCAAAGTACCTACGAAAAAAACAGCAAAGTAGCAACGCGAAAAAAAGTAGGTTCCAAAGTACCCCCCCGCTTTTCCCACAGGTAGTCGCCAACAACGGCGAACCACAATTGACGAGTGGGAAAAATCGCCCCTCGACGCCGCTGAGTGGCAATTCTGCGCAAAAGGTCGTTGGGCATTTGGCGGCGCATTGTTTGACGATCGCACCGTCGTGGTCTGGCAAGCAGGCACCCCCCCCCGAGCGGATCGGACGGGCTGGCCGTCAGAGCGGACGGGCGGGATTACAATCAGCTGAGTGGGCCGAACCAGACGGGCGCGTCGGGCGCGTTAGGCGGGCGGGCGCGCCATTCGGGGGGGGGGGGGTCGAACGGCAGAACCATTAGGGCGGCTGCCAAAAACTCAGATGAGAAACGTTCCTATGTCACTGGTGTTTGGGCGCAGCGTAGGCACGCACCACTGCACATCTGCGGCACAAGCGCGATAACTATCTAGCCCCCGCGTCATCCATGCACACGCCTACTGCGATGCAGTTTCCAGTAACCGATCGAGTTGTGCTACAGATTGCTGCTAGGACGCGCAATTGAGCCCCCTGGGGACCACCGCAAGAAACCCCGTTGACCCCAAGATGCTCCTGATCGCCTAAAGAACAGCACCTGGCACAGAGGCGATGCAAATTTAACTGGCACTGCGGGTGCAGCCCGATTGGAGGACCCCCCATGGATGACCGCTGCTCCCAAGGAATGCCACGGTGATGCCACAACGCGTCCCCCAACAACAACAACAACAAAAACAAACATAATGCCATGCACCGCCGACAAACCCCAACAAACTTTCACTAAGGTTTCGAGGGCCCCACCGACCCCCTCCCCTCCACCCCGCCCTCGCCGAAAACATGTGCAACAACGCGACCGATAGGCACGCGCTGCTGCGTGCGTTTACCGTTGGCCTGAGACCGTGCAAACATATATCTGGAGGTGCTGGCGGGGCTGCGCAAAGCGTCAGGTCTACCGCCGCGCAGTCGCACGCAGGGGCGCGTTTGGCGGTCAGCTCGTCTACACTAGGCGGCCGACGTGGTTTCACTTGCCAATGTGTTTACCCTATCGCAGCGCGCAGTCGCCCTAGGCCGCCTTCTAGATTTAGCGTATTTCGAGTTGTGGCCGTGCCACCGATACCTCGACTCCTACCATGTTACGCAACGCCAGCGCTTTCCGAACACAACCCGTCGTTGGAGCGCCCAGCGGTTGCGCCTGCGAAACCCAGACCACTCCAAGGCGGCCCCTGATGCACTCAAGGCAGCCGATGGCCCCCGAGAAGGCCCCAAGAGGCCATGTGAGCGCCCAAAGCGACCCAAGAATGCCCCAAGATGGCCCTATGAGGAGCCCAAGTGGTTGATAACGAACAACGGGTTCGAGCTTCCAACGCCGAGACGGCAATTGAGAGCGTTGAGAGGCAGCCCCGCCGTCAAAAAGCTACCACGGGATCCCCCAGAACTGACCTAACCTACGCTACATCTCATTCGTGTGCGATTGGGTTCTAGACGTTGCGATTGTTATAGCTTTAGACGCTCAGGGTCTGCTCAAGAGGTCCCAGCGGGTGCCCCACGACAACGTATAAGACGACCGCAAAGCCACAACGCAATTCAGACGAGGCCTACTACGGACAAACACACCTACACGGCAACCCACGAACTACCCCAAACGACCCCAGAAGCACCACCGTTGCTACAGCATCAGAGCGCCCTCGCCAAACACGTAAACAACGCGTCAAAAGGCACTCACGAAGCCCAGCGAGGCTCCCGATAGCTCACCCCAAGGGGGCATGACGATATCCAAATCAGCGCGAACCATGATGTTGACATGGTTGCATTATGCCCATGGCAACTTCATGGCGGCGCGAGAAGCCCGCAAGACCACCCCAAGACGGCCCAAGACGCACCCAGAAGCCCCTCTAAGAGGACACTGGGATCGCACATGAACTGTCTAAGACAACACCCATGGACCCCCCCACCGCCATGCGGACACGAAATGATTGTGCGAATCTCAGCGTCCAAAGATTGCTCCGAGGATTCCAGAGGTGCCCCCGAGATGCCTAACATGACACACGGCAGCGTCCCAAAGAGGCGTCGGTGCGGCTCCCAATCACCATCAGAGAAGCACGCCAAGCGATCACAGGCGACATATGCAAGGCGGTTGACTCACAACCCACGCACGGCGGCGGGTTGCCGCAGGCAGCTGGATTATTCCGACGGCAAAGCAGAGGGACGAACCAGGCGCCACCAGCCCCTTAAAGGAGCAACGCCGACGCTCTCATCTAGCCCATCCAGCTCGGGGGAAGGAGATTGGGAATGCTTGGGAATTGGATGGGGGAGGGTGGGGCAAGCGGGATGGCAAAATCATACACGAGACAAGGTGATGACGGCCACGTCAACAGACGCGACTGCAGAATTGCGAGGACAGGCCGCATGGACAAAAAGCTGAGCGACCCAGAGACAATGTTTTTCATTTCTCAGCGAGGCCCCCTTCTCGCACGCGCTGATCCCAGCACAGGCGCTGATGCCGTCGGCGCTCCTGCGCCACGTCGCCTGCAAGTCCAGCAGGCGCCTGGGCGCACATGTCGTGCATCGCCCTCGCTTTGCCATACTCGTCTCCCCCCCCTGGGGGGGGGGGGGAAGTGCCCCCCC